TATAAAAAGGTTAATCTATTAGAGTTCATTAAAATCCGTAAAATTCTTCATCATCGCTTTCAAACAGTCTCTCGTAATCTTCTTCTCTAATGTCTGCGTTGCTACATTCGTCTTCGTCTGCATAGTAAAGTCCCTCGTCATCTTCTTCTGCAAAGGGATCGCTTTCATCGTCTTCTTCCCACACATCATCGTCCTCTGGTCCGTCTAGTGCGTTTGTGATGCAACACTTTCGAAACGATTTCACAATCAATTCTTTAGGAATGTCGTTACATGATTTGATGATCCACTTGCAAATGACATTCAAGTCTACTTTCTTCAATCTTCCACCTTTCGTTGTGGCTTTCTCTCCTTCAAGCATCCAATCGTTCCATTTATTGCGCATCCTGTCCTTGAATGGCTTGTTGACGCACACATCTAGTGGCTGAAGTACGCTAGTCATTCCTCCAGGGATGACAGCTGTCTCGGTGTTTAGAGAGGAAACAACGGTCTTTGATGGTTCTGATAGGTGGGCACGGAAAGAGTCCCAAACAAGCAGTGACTTCGTCTTCCGTAGTCCGCCGACTTTCGACCAGACAGTCTTTAACCAGTCCTTCACGAGTGGTTCGTCCATCCATCCTTTCTCTTGACATCTTACGACTATTCCATCAGGAAATGTCATCTTTTTGGGCAGTGTTTTTCGTTTAAAAATTACATAAGGTGGTAACTTCGTTCCATCTCCGAGGCATGCCAGCATAACGGTGAACCGATCTTTCTCGTGTCCTGTTGTCAAAACTGAAACAGTTTTGCTACGTTTAGAATCTATGGTTGAGTTTAATACAATGTCAAATGTCATTGGCGTCTGATCAGCATTACCGATACATCTTAAATCGTACTGGTGTTGCTTCCTCTTACAGATGATAAATCGCTGGAAGTTTACTAGCTTGTCTTCATAATCCTGAGGCAGTTTCTGCGCTACGGTTGTTCGCCGTCTAATCGACAGTCCATGGCGTCCCATGAAGCCATTACACCACTTTACCGACGCTTTAAAGTTTGTGATGTTGCTTTTCTGGGCGAGTGATAAAGCCTTTAGTCGTATAACGCTGGTAGAAACAGCGGCTCCACTTTTCCTCTTATCATTAAACCATTCGGTATGCGGGATGACGTCATCACAGGAACGTAAACTTTGGGAATTTTACATATATTTAGGTTATTGTGTTTGTTTTTCATGCAAAACTCCATTTTTATCTTAGTTACGAAGTACAGAAGGCAGTACCAACAGAAGGAAAGATCTTTTTAGACATTTCGTTCTCGCACGCTTTACATCTCACTTGTGTCATACGCCATATTGGAATTTGTCACGTGATCTAGTAAGGCAGAGGGTGACCAGTAATGCTAGTGCCCAGACTCTTTTCTGATGAAATTTTGAACGCCTGGTACATTTGTGAAGCCCACGAAAACAAAACTATATTCAGAAAATTATAAGCATGTTTGGGAGCGTTTTTTGATCAAAAACACAGTCGATGGACCATAAAAAACATTAGTAGAAGGCAAGTCATCTTAAAAAATGGTATAACATGGGGAAAAAACACGAATTATGCAGGATTATGCGCGATTTGGTAAATTATGCAGAAAGGGGGCAATTATGCACGTCCGCATCCGCACATAATTCCGACATGCCTGTACATATAATAATTGTTGAGAATTTAGGTAGCTGTCATCAACGTAATATTTTGTAGTTGTCACCATTAGGCGATTGGGGGAATGGAGGGGGATGGTCCTATATAAAATTGTCGCTATGATGTCACATGCTGTCAATATGAAGTCACTTCAATCAAATGTTTAAAATCAATCCCATCAATGGGAAGCTATAAAATGCTCATCAGGCCATCCAATGTAAAGCTGATTATGTTATATATTATGTGTTATACAGCCTTTTGCACAAATTATGAGACATTTTTATATATATAAATATACCTAACCAAATATCAAAAACACCCCAG